GTCCTTACAAGTCAGTGAGGTCGGACTGCAGCAACAAACCAAACACTCGGCTCACAGCTATGGCATGGTATTTATATAAAATTCCCATTTAGCTGTAAAAAAAAAAAAAAAGGGCATTCAGGAGGCAGCAGTATTGCCTTCTGAATGCATGGCAGCTGCATTCCCGCCTCCACCATGGATCGCTTTTCAGAGGGACAGCAAGAGCTACCGCCTGTGTGAATGAGCCCTAATGGTCACTTCTCGCTCCTCCTTATCATCTGTAACATTCACTAATTTTTACTTTCTATTCAAATTTTTAGGAGCTGTGGGTCAAGTTTGAGCGATGACCTGGGAATCCTCCTACCATCATCTCCTTCCTGCTGACTGTTACACATTTCAACTGCTTGGAAATTTGAACATATTTAAGCCGTGAGCAAAGGAAAAATATAAAGCATGGCTACCGACATCTTGTAATATCTGGTATCTGCTGTTAGGTTTACGTCTGCTATCCCCTTCCAGCAGATATTTTAGTATTTGACATTTGGAGTGAGATCTCTTCAGACGTTTCGCAGTAATCCAACAAAAGTTTGTGTTGATTTAGCGGGTTTGCCCCATCGACAAAGGAGAAGATGTTTTCGGCTTTAAAGAAACTGGTTGGGTCAGATGTATCGACCATTAAAGATAAGAATATCCCTGCTGGACTTCAGTCCATGAACCAGGTGCTACAGAGGCGCTTCGCCAAAGGAGTACAGTATAATAGTAAGAGGCATATACTATTTGCTGAACCACATTTCTTTTGTTTTTAAAGTTGAACTCCAAGCAGATAGTGAAAATATCATATTCAACTAGTGCAAGTGCCTGATGTGTCTCAGTATCAGCCTCATATAGCTCCCATTCACATTTATGAATTGGGACATTTAGCTATTACATGATGGAGATCAGGCTGGGGTTCCAGTTGATCAGCTGCGGGAAAGCTCCACCGAAAGCAGTGGAAGGCTGATAGCTCCCACAGCTAATGGTGGCCACTCGATTGGCCCTGGACACAAACTTCATGTTCAGGGCTGATCAGTCACAGGTAATATCTTCTTGAGCTGTCAGACTCCCACTGCTTTCAGCCGGGCTTCCACCCACCAATAATAGCCAGGAACCCTTGTTGCGTCTCCAGCATGTAATCACTTAAGACCCCATTTGTAAGTGAATGGAGCCATAATCTCTTGCACAGCAGAACTCAGACTGAGAAAGGAAGGGGCAGCACTTGGAGCTCTGCTATAGTGCACATGCTGAGAGTGAACACATTGACAAAAGTAGTGAGCAGAGGGTGACCACCTTGGTTTAATTCTGCTTTTTCAGTGCCCAATTAGAAGGCAGGGTGTCTGATTTTGATAAATCTGCATTGCAGTGATTCAGCTGCATTTTCTCCAGGGGTGCCTGGATCACTGATTCATCTAAATCAGGGGTCTCCAAATTGCGGCCCGAGGTCCAGATGTGGCCCTTTGCTACCCTTTATCCAACCCTTGGGGCACTATTCCTCCCACTGAGACCAACAGTGGGGCAGTACTTCTTCCCATGAAACCAATGATAGTGTACTATTCTTCCCACTAATACCAATGGTGGTACACTACTCTTCCTACTGACTAACAACCCTGAGGCCGCGTTTATTCTCACTAATGCTGGGCCCAGGACATTTTCTATCCTCACTGGCCCTAATCCAGCCCTCCTAAAGTCTGAAGGACAGTATACTGGTCCTTTGTTTGAAAGGTTTGGAGACCCCTGATCTAAATCATTGGTTTTCCAAATAAAGGGATAAGTTAACTGTCCTTTTGTGTTTGGGGGGGCTGGCATGTGGCCAGTGGGAGTAGAAAATGTTTTAGCATCAACATCCCAGCTTTTGTGTCAGTGAGGGGAATAGTGCCCTATCGTCGGTGTTAGTTGGAGGAATAGTGCCCCATTGTTGATGTCAGTGGGAGGCATAGTGCCCCATCGTTGGAGTCATTGAGAGGAATATTGCCTCATCATTGGAGTCAGTGGTAGCAAGTGCTCCATTGTTGGTGTCAGTGGGAGGAACAGTGCCCCATCATTGGTATCAATGGGAGTAATAGTGCCCCAGTGTTGGTGCCTGTGGGAGGAATAGTGCCCCATCGTTGGAGTCAGTGGGAGAAATAGTATCTGTTCGTTGGTGTCAGTGGGAGGAATAGTGACCCTTTGTTGGTGTCAGTGGGAGGAATAGTGCCCCCTCGGTGTCAGTGGAAGGAATAGTGCCCCCTCGTTGCTGTCAGTGGAAGGAATAGTGCCCCCTCGTTGGTGTCAGTGGGAGGAATAGTGCCCCCTCGTTGGTGTCAGTGGGAGGAATAGTGCCCCCTCGGTGTCAGTGGGAGGAATAGTGCCCCCTCGTTGGTGTCAGTGGGAGGAATAGTGCCCCTTCGTTGGTGTCAGTGGGAGGAATAGTGCCCCTTCGTTGGTGTCAGTGGGAGGAATAGTGCCCCTTCATTGGGTCAGTGGGAGGAACAGTGCTCAAGGACCAGATAAAGGCAAGGAAATGGCCACAGTTTGGAGACTACTGATATAAATGATAGCTTTTTTGGAAGGTAGTTGCTTTCCTGGAGTTCAATCTTATTTATTTATTATTTATTTCAGGTACTTATATAGCGCCCGCAATTTACATATATATTATACATTCACATCAGTCCCTAACCCTCAAGGGGTGTACAATCTAAGGTCCGTAACTTACATTCATACATACACACACTACGGCCAATTTAGACAGGATTCAGTTAACCTACCAGCATGTCTTTGGAGTGTGAGTGTGGAGGAAACTGGAGTACCCGGAGGAAACCCACGCAGGCACAGGGAGAACATGCAAACTCCAGGCAGGTGGTGCCGTGGCTGGGATTCGAACCAACGACCCTAGTACTGCCAGGCGGAAGTGCTAACCATTTAGCCACTGGTTTATCTTAGTTTTTAGTCTTAGTTTTATCTTTACCAGTTACCCCCTCTATTCAGTTTAATCCATTCACAAATGCTAATTTCCTGGTTGCTGTGTTGAACCTTTGGTTTCAATGCTTTGTGTCACTGACCCAGAATAATTATACAGAGAGGTACGTTGGCCTTTCATGATATGCATGCTTGTTCTGAATTATTGACTCTGAAAGTCATACCAGAAGGTGTCTGTGATAGGTATAATAACAAATGGAGTGTTATGGTGATTTAATGAGCTTAGGACAAAAAATACCATAACTATTTCTGAAAGGAAGCATTAGCTATGGATGTCTTATGAGTTGCATGTGACCTTGCAGCAATGGAATTCTTTTAACAACGCACAAAGTCTATCCTGATTACGAATCTTCCCTGCAGCCATTATAACAGGCTTAAACAGCGGGCAATATAGGGGTGTTGTCAATAAGCAGAAAGATATGTCGTTTTTTTTCCTGCACTTGAAAAGTGATAATGGCATGAACACAGGTTCTATAGTTCATTTTTGCTGACCTTTCAAATTGCAAATACAAGTCCCTGCCTTTCATACTGATGCCTTCCTGAGAATATGAGTCAATGGTCCAGTAAAAGTGTGTAGATCAGGATTCTGACTTTTCCTCATCTGCTTGCTTGTTCCAGCCCAGTACTGAAGCCGTTGGACAAACATGACAGTGAAGCAACTGGTGTTTTTAAGAGTCAGCAATTGTTATCTCTGTATTGCAGGATTCCTTTAAAGCACAGTAAAACTTGTTTTCTGCCAGGGCTCTTATATTTTCCTATTCAGTTTAGCCAGCTAAAGTCTCAAGTTCGTGCTTTGTATGCAGCTAATCACAAAGGTGTCACCCCCCCCCATATTAAAGTGGAACATAACTCAAAAAATGAAGAACTGATATGTTACAGGGAACATCTGGAAATATAAATTGTCCCTAAGCAGTAATCTAAAAGATTTACCTTTTTTTGTCTTGAATTCCTCCTGCAAAATAGCAAACGTCTGTGCCTACAGTCTTTTAGTTGTGTATCTGCAGTGTGAGATAATCTAAAGCACTGCTGCCTCTAACTGCTAGTCTTGTCAGGTTTGGAGTGGGATTTGGTGATGTTACTACTGTATTGCTCATTGTTCTCCTTCTGGAGAGTAAACTGTACCCGAGGAGCTACAGTGCAAGGATCTCCCTGTTTTTTTTTTTTCCTTCATTTATATTTTACCCTATCAGTCATTGGATAGCAGCTCTGACATGAAAAAGTAAAGCCCTACCTCTACCAAGATGGTAGCCGCCATAGAGAGAGACAGTGCAGAACAAGGAATGCATACATGAGAGACACTAAGATCTCCTTTTGTTGATGTCCAATATCGTGCATGAATTAATTGAGCTGAATCACTCAATTAGTGTGACATTATTACTTCTATCTACAGTGCCGAATAGAGCATGGTAAGCCAGTGAGGGGGGTAACCGCATATTGAGGACTAGTCCTTTTGCTAAACTTTTTTTTTCCTTTGATAAAGTGGGGAAGGATTAGCATCTGTCAGATTTATATTGCTGTTTATATCTCTATTGGTGAGGTGTCCCCTCTTTCTTGACAGCGCAGGAATTGATGTGAATAATCAGCAAACAAAAAATGCAACCCTCTGTTATATTAACCACTAGCCTACAGGGCACTTATACCCCCTTCCTGCTCAGGCCAATTTTCAGCTTTCAGCGCTGTTGCACTTTGAATGACAATTGCGCGGTCATGCAACACTGTACCCATATGACATTTTTATCATTTTTTTTGTGACAGAGCTTTCTTTTGGTGGTATTTAATCACCTCTGGGTTTTTCATTTTTTCTTAAACCAAAAACCACTGAAGATTTTGAAAAAAAAAAAAAAAAAAGTTTTTTCTTAGTTTTTGTTATAAAATTTTGTAAATAAGTGATTTTTCTCCTTCACTGATGTGCGCTAATGAGGCTGCAGTGATGGGCACTGATAGGCTGCACTGATGGACACTGATAGGTGGCACTGATGGGCACTGATGAGGAGGCACTGGTAGGTGGCACTGATGGGCATTGACAGGCATCACTGATGGGCACTGAAAGGCAAAACTCATATATGGCACTGTTAGGTGGCACTGACTGGCACTGTTAGGCGACACTGACTGGCACTGTTAGGCGGCACTGATGCGCACTGATAGGCAGCACTGATGCATACTGATAGGCGGCATTGACTGGCACTGATAGGTGGCACTGATAGGTGGCACTGACTGGCATTGATAAGTGGCACTGACTGGCACTGATGGGTGACACTGAAAGGCAGCTCAGATGGGCACTGATATGTGGCATTGATGTGGCACTGATGGGCACTGAAATGGACACTGATGTGGCACTGATGGGCACTGGCAGGTGGCATGGATGAGCACTGAGAGCTGGCACTGATGGACACTGACAGGTGGCGCTGCTGGGGCTACACAGATCATCAGGGCACACTGATCATCAGAGTACTGATGATCTGTGTACATGTCCCCTCCGAGGAATGCCGATTACCGGCTCTCCTCTCCTCTGTCAGCGTGACAGCTCATGAGGCGAGAAATGCTGATAACTGGCATTTCCCTATTTACATGCGATCAGCTGTGATTGGACACAGCTGATCACATGACCGAGCCGACCTCTTCAGCTCTTTCTGTGGATCGGTGATCCGCTGTGTCCGTGCTCCGGGAGCCGCGCATGCGCGGTTAGAATGGGAGGACGTCATATGACATCCTCCCAGAACGAGAGAACCGCCTTGTGTCCGCCATATTACTATATGGCGGGCGGGAGGTGGTTAAAGCTATTTCCTCTTGCTCTGAGGCCAACCATTCCTCCCTTTTCTTGTATAGGTCAGGATGTGAAGGAAAATTTCTCCATTTGGGTCAAACACCAAATAAAAATCTATCAGGAGTTTTCACTCATTCCCATTCTGCAAAAGAGAATAGCTGGAGTTAGGCTCTGGCTTTAATGCTTTGAGTCAGTGATCCAAGATAAGCATTCAGGTTTGAAGCCCAGACTGAAGTAATAACTCCCCTATCTGCATACCTATTGGTCAGTATGTCAGAACTCAAGCTGTTGCATCAGCATGACGGCCAGGCCTCTAGCATTTTCAGAAGGAGAAATTAGCCACACTTTCTTGCTACATGTTTTTTTAAACTGATTTTAGAGTCAGAAAGCTCTTCGCCCTTGGAAGTAAATAAAGATAGCATGAGATTAGAGATGGAAAACCCTGACCTGTCTGTGTAAGGATGAAATGAACCACGTCTGGTTCCAGATACTCCACCTTAAAGAACAAACACCTACATTGTGTCTTAAAGAGAACTTGTGTTAAGAGAAATATGGAGCATTCCATTGCTGACCTGTTTCCTAAAATTCTAGTTGCCTGCCCAGTTTTGACCTTGTTATAGGCCACTAAGGGCTTGTGTTGATTGCTTCTTGCTTTCGGTGAATTCTTTATTTGATACCACTTTGAGATTCCTCTCAGATCATTGTCCGGTCCATTGGATTTGCAGTTGACCCCCTTCTCAGCTGCATCTTTCAGCTTCAAACTGTTTTGCATTCCCATTGACTTGTATTGGGAGAGAAGCAGTTCTGATAAGATTCTGTTAGTACAGGCTGTTAGCCAGAATGTAAGACAGGGATGTGAGATTTTCAGTAGGGCGTCAATGGTAGTTTATGTGCTTCTCTTTAAATGTGTAGTCATTGCTGAAAGCCTGTAAGAACTATTTGTAAACTGTGCCCTAGCACGCTGAATAACCTGTGTGAGCGATGATGGGTGCTTCTGAAGTTGAAAAACTTTCTTCGTCCATCTCTAAAGAAACCCTGCATGGTTGTGGAATTGGGTTATCCCAGTATGGTTGTAGAATCAGGTAGTGTACGACCTTTTGTTTGATACCTTACGGTAACGCTCATGTAAGTGGACTGTTGCCCCTTCATTGCTAAATCACAGTCTTGGATGGATCTAAGACCAGGATGTATTGGCAGTCTACAGTGAGGTTCACAACCTAACGTTTTTTTTTTCTGGTAAAGGAATACCTTGAGTGTGAGACTTGCCGAATGGAATTACAAAATTTTTGTCAGGTAAAACCTTTCTTATATGTCTGTTTGGCTGGAGATTAACTTTAACATCAAGTCCGTAGAGAAAGAATAAAGGGTTGCTAAATTTGTAAACATATTAACCATTGCTGCCCCCCCACTCCCCATTCTAATAATGGCCTCCACTAGGAAAAGTATAAAGTGAGCATGCTGGATAGTGGAATACCACTTTAAAAGGTAAAAAAAGATAAAATTGCACTTATGTTGAATCATTCAAGGGAACGCTAGGCCATTCCTACAGATGTGGAACTCTCTGGGTAACTGGCAATAGTAGAGGATATTAGCCAAGATGGATTCTCTGTGGTAAACACTGGAAGGAAGGAAAGTACAAAGACATCCCAAGCTAGTGCTGAGAGGAGACCAACGTATGCTTGGTCGTAATAATAATACCACCACTAAAGACTGACTTGTTTTGCCATGATGTTCTTCTTCAGAGTCTTTCATGCCCCTTTTAAGAACTCTTTTAAGCTTTCTAGCGGTAAAGGCTTGTAAACACGGGCTGAAAATCGGGTGGAATCAGCCGGTTCCATAGAAACAGCTGACATTCAATCTATGTGTAGGGCAGCTGGTCTGACAAAAGCGGGCCGGTCTGCCAATTGGCTCCCGATCAACTCTTTCAGCCAATGGCTGAGAGCGCTGACTGGAGTGTTCTGGTGGTAGGGCTGCCACAATAGCACAGTGGGGAAGAATGCTGTACTAACATTGGATGGTTAATACAGCGGCTCCTCTTGAGCTGTCAGGTTTTTTTTTTTCGTTCTGAATTGAACAAAAAAAAAAAATCTAGACGTGTATACAAGGCTTTAGACTTATCCTGCCCATGATGTTAGTCTTCCAGACACTAGCTGATTGGGCTAAGGTATTTAGAAGACACCTGATTACTGTGACAGTGGAATGTCTGGAGCTCAAACCCACAGCTTTGAATTGGTGTGTAGGGTTCAAGTTTCCAGTCTCATCTCCAGGATGGGCTTCCTCTCAGTGAACATGAGGACAAATCTCTGGCAGATGTGTTGGGCTGCAAGACCCTTCCAAACAAAGCATCTGTTTTGCATGTTCTTCTGGGCACAATGTCTCTTCGGAGCCACCCTGTATACCCCATCAAGGATGTCACTGTGGGTAAGAGTACCTGTCTTCTTTAAAAAAAAAAAAAAGCATAGGGCTTAGCTTGAGAATACGCACTCCTTACCAGAGACCAAGAGGAGTCCCTTACTTATAGGCCTCAGTCTTCTAAGACAAATCAAAGTCTGGCTCTCAATCTGCCAGCGAACAGTCGACTTCAAGTCCCCCAAACCCTTAGGTAAGGCTTCCTCGGCATGAGGGGGTGACTCTTCTTTCCAAAATGGAAGGAAGTTTGTTTGCTTTTGTGGACATTTAGGAAGCCAGCCACTCAGATGCTTGGGTGTTGGAGTTGGTTTTCAGGGGCTAAAAGCTAGAATTTCTCCCTCAGCTCCTTCCCCTACACATTACTTCTAACCTACCTGTGTCAATACAGATTAGCAAATCTCTAGGCAGTCCTTGCAATTCTGGAGTAACTGTTGCCCTATTTTCTGTGGCGGAATGATTCCAGGGGTTTTTACTCCAACCTGTCCTCAAACCAAAAGAGTGTATTTACTCCATCTTGAATATTTAGGCCATAAATGTTTTTTTTTTTTTAGGCCTAGGAATTCTGCATGGAACCACTAGGTCTGTCACAACTCACTTCATTAAGGAGATTTTCTGGCTCTGTAGATATTAAGAATGTATAATTTCATGTCCTTATTTTTCCTGCACCTCCGTGCTTCCATTCCTTTGCTGTGGGTTATCTTTACCTCCAATTTATGGTCCTGACATTTGGCCTCTGTTCTGCAAGTTGGATGTTTACGAAGATGCTGGCCTCTGTGTTATGCTTAGTTTCTCGGGTAGTAGTCATTCTTGGAGACCAGTAGCCATAGCAGTAGCAGGAGAAGTATGCCAGTAGGTTCCCCGGCATGTGATGTAGGCTCACCTAAGGTGCAGAATCTAAGCACCAACTTGTCTTCACCATAGCTTCTGATGATGAAGATGGGTTTTGCAGCATGGTATTACCAGGTCACAGTCCTTAGGATCCCCACACCATGAGGTGAGCAAGCCCCAGAGTCTTGTAACAGATGTTGCAGGTTGGGATCAAGCAGAAGCTTAGACAAAGAACAAGCCAAAGACTGGTAACAAGTGGTTTCAGGATGGGGTCAAGTGGAAATGTAGTTGATGAACAAGCAAAAGGTCAGTAACAAGTGGTAGTGAACAAATACGGATGGTAGCAAGAGCACAAGGAGCAAGATATTTTCTGCAACAGAGCACAATAATCTGACAAGCAATAGGTGCAGAGACATGGCTTAAATAGGATGTTCATGGGAGGAGCAAGGAATTCATGGTTCACTAGAAACAAAATAAAGTTTTCCAAGGGATCAGGCATGGAGCTGTCCACCATTTCAAGTGGCAGAGTAAGAAGAACTACACAGCTTTAATCTGAAGTAATTTGAAGGGACAAGCACAAAACATTTTCTCGTACGATACCAGATTGTACAATTTTCATTTAATCAGTACAGCTTTCGTCCAAAAATACAATACAGTACATTTACATCACTTCTGAATTTTTATTCTGTCATACAAGAATTTTCACAATTTTAGAAACATCTTCATTTTTCATATGAGACTGGTATGTAAAAGAAAGGACGATCATTCATCCAAAATTCTTATACGGGGCTTTAGACTGAAGATGAAAATCGGAGGATACAGTATCTCACAGAAGTGAGTACACCCCTCACATTTTTGTAAATATTTTATTATATCTTTTCATGTGACAACACTGAAGAAATGACACTTTGCTACAATGTAAAGTAGTGAGTGTACAGCTTGTATAACAGTGTAAATTTGCTGTCCCCTCAAAATAACTCAACACACAGCCATTAATGTCTAAATCACTGGCAACAAAAGTGAGTACACCCTTAAGTGAAAATGTCTAAATTGGGCCCAAAGTGTCAATATTTTGTGTGGCCACCATTATTTTCCAGCATTGCCTTAACCCTCTTGGGCATGGAGTTCACCAGAGCTTCACAGTTTGCCACTGGAGTCCTCTTCCACTCCTCCATGACGACATCACAGAGCTGGTGGATGTTTGAGACCTTGCGCTCCTCCACCTTCCGTATGAGAATGTCCCACAGATGCTCAATAGGTTTAGGTCTGGAGACATGCTTGGCTAGTTCATCACTTTTACCCTCAGCTTCTTTATCAACGCAGTAGTCGTCTTGGAGGTGTGTTTTGGATCATTATCATGTTGGAATACTACCCTGCTTCTCAGTCTCTGAAGGGAGGGGATCATGCTCTGTTTCAGTATGTCACAGTACATATTGGCTTTCATGGTTCCCTCAATGTACTGTAGCTCCCCAATGCCGGCAGCACTCATGCAGTCTCAGACCATGGCACTCCCACCACCATGCTTGACTGTAGGCAAGACACACTTGTCTTTGTACTCCTCACCTGGTTGCCGCCACACATT